TTCTTGTTGCGGAGCAGACCGAGTAATTTTCAAATAGCTATAAAATTTGAAAAGATAACATTATGAAACTGTTTCTTTTCTGTATGTAAACTTTTACGGTGTAGATACATTTTATGTAAAAAAGTATGAAACTTATGTGAGCAAAATTGTCGGTGCCAGCTCAGCTGGCACTCAGCTGGCACGGTGCCAGCTAATTCAGAAAAAAGTTCAGCACAGCTTTTATTCACATAGTTTTCATAAATTTTTGAGCCATACTTTGGGTCCCCCAACGCACATGCACACATCAAATTCGGTATCATATGCATTTTGGCTGTAAACAAACCCTTTGTTTGTTTGATGGACAGCATGCCGGTGGCATTCTTGCGGCTCTTCTCAGCCCCGGACCCCGAAAAAAAAAACGATATCCAGCTTGACCCGGTGCCAGCTGTGCCGAGCCCTGTTCATCCCGCTTCCATCTGGTGCATTTCTGCTCCACCCTTCCTTCTCCGGTCCCGCAGCCTATATCTACCTGCGCGGTGCGTTGTAATCGCTAAGCCTACCTCAAAGCAGCATCATCTGGAAGTACCGCATCCTTCTGACCGCAAAATGAGAATGAGTTTGTCTGCCATTGTTTACACCAAAATATGCATGGGGTATGATAGCGGTTGATAAGACTTCACTTTCATTGCAAAGTGCCGAAATCAATAAAGCAATGGAAGGATCCAGCAAATCGCTTCAAAAGGTAGCCTAAAACCATCTACGGGGTCGAAAACATATATATGCAAAATTTCAGCTCAATCGGTTCACGCGCAAAGGAATCTATAAAAAACATACGGTCAAGAGTTGCACAAACTTTGTGTTTTATATATATACCAGTGCGTCAACTCTGCTTCGCAGAGGATCGCACTGGCTCTACTATCCATATGCCTCATTACTTTCCCATAATGATGGCATTGAAACTCACCGCGCAGTGGCCGATTACCACGAATAGGATGTAAACAATCACTCATTTTAACAACTTTTTCATGTGAGATCGGTGATTTCGCGAGGATGGAACTTTTTGCTGAAGAACAAATGCAAATTTGAGTGGGTTCCTGGATTTTTTTTAAGGTTTGGTAGTTGCCATAAGGCCATTAGCCACCGTGAGCAACACTTCTGCGCAAAAATCGTCTCAAATGCGCCAGTAGAACGTTTTCAAATTGACCATTTACGCAACCAATCCATTTTGGCGTCATTTTCGCAAAGTAGTAAATTTTTGCCCATTATTTGGGCTAGAGTCCAAGGCTTGCACATTTACTTGTCAAACTCTTCAACGACTTCGCAAAAAGTGCTGATAGGGACCCAATTTTGTGGGTCGGAAGCGAAGTGGACCCGTTTGCGCAATTTCTGTGAGTTCCACTTAACAAATCCGCTCATGCTTTTGCATGATGGAGTTTTGTGCTGGTAGCATGTGCGGTGCAAAATTTGGGCCCAAGACGCTTGCTGGAGCACGCTCTACGAATTTCGTGACAGACAGAGATTCACACAGACAGACAAACGTAAACAACCCTCAGTCCGTTATTATAAGTTACCAGTGCTTCACCTCTGCTTCGCAGAGGCTCGCACTGGCCCTACTATCTGTATGCCTTACTCACTCTTGCACAATAATGACATTGGAACTCACCGCGGTATGCAGACTATCACGAATGATTTTTAAACAACTATTCATTCCAAAAGCTTTTCCATATGAGATCGGTAATTTCGCATGAACGAAACTTTTCTCGAAAGAACAAAAGCAGATTTGAGTCGGTTTTTGGACCTTTCATGGCTTGATATTTGCGTTAAGATGCCATAATCACCGTGGGCTACATATCTGTGCAAAATTCTTCTCAAACCATCGGGTAAAATCTTGGCAAATTGAACATTTACGCAACCAATTATTTTGGCGCCGTTTTCGCAAAGTAATAAACTTTAGTTTAATTTTTTAGGCTAAAGACCATGGCTTGCACATTAACATGTCAAAAATATTCTTAAATTTGCAAAAAGTTGCGCAACAGACTCAATTTTTCTGGCCAAAAGCCAAGTGGATCCGGTTGACGCGCATTTTTTGAGGGATCCACACAATGGATCCGCTCGTGCTTTTGTATAGTAGACTCTCATGTTGGTAGCAGGCGCTGTGCAAAGAATTAGCTCAAAACCTTCGCTGGAACTCGCTCCAAGAATTTCGTGACAGACAGAGATTCACATAGACAGACAAACGTAAACAACCCTTAGCCCGTTATTGTAAGTTATGATGATATATAAATATAGATTGAAACCTACAATCACTCGAGCGAGCTGCGGCCGAAGATGGCCTTTTTCACAATATGTGCCTACTTGCCGGCATCTTTGATGCCACCAGGTATGGTAGATTACTACCGACATCGTCCTTGCTACCACTCGGCGCCATAGGCGAGACACGATGTGCAGAATTTATTTCTTTTTTTTTTGCTGAGTAATGGAAGTATTTCCATTACAAAAGCAGACCTACTGGTCAACTCCTGATTTCCACGGTGCGATCGCTGATTTGGGTGTGGAGCGGGGGAGAGCCGCCTAGCGACCGGAGAAAGTTAGACAGCGAGAGGTCTGGCCTAAGCGGCTCGAGCGGGGCATCCGGCCGAAACGTCGAACGCCTTTAAAGCTTGAGAGGCCCTATTAGAGTATACACGCGGCCGCATGCATTAACATCCCCGCCGGAAAGATGATCGCAACTTAAAAGAAAGCTTCATGTTCTGAAGCTTTAGATATTACCTATCCTTAGGTATTCCTACCATTATTCACTAAGAGCATATTGAAGAGAAGCGAGAAGAGGTGTAATGCCCAGGGCTCGGCACAGCTGGCACCGGATCAAGCTGGATATCGTTTTTGGGGCCGAAAGCAAAGGGGATATCGTTTTCCCGGGTATAGCTATTTATAGGTAACGCATTCGGAAAACACTTATCTTATGACGCTAGCGTTATCTATTGTTCGATGAACATCTAGGAAAAACAAAACTGTTGTGATGAGATCTTCTACGATAATTTGGCGATTTTACTGAAAGCAATCAAGATGATCATTTGAGATCTGTGACACAAACAGAAAATTGCAAACTTGTAGGAGGCAAAAACGTAGGCCGGAAAGCATTCTGCAATCTCTGGCCTACAAGAAGCAATTAGAGCATTGAACTGAATTGTATAGAAGCAATGATTCATTGTGATCGATAGTGTAAAAAAAATAGAGTGTCTGCTAAACATGGCTGAGATATTCAGCCGATAGCACAGTAAACATTGAAGTGACTTTCAAAAGTTGCCATATTTATCGCAAAAACATTGTTCGACGTTAGTGTACAATGTTTTCCACACGCAATTTGAAACCATGTGGAGAGAAACCGATGCAACAAAAATCAAGTAAAATACAAAGAATAAGCAAAACCACCAAGAATTCTAAGTAACGATGTAAAACTGAGCAAGAAAAACTAACCTATAGCTCTCGCTTCGTTGCCTTGCATCAAGATCTCGTTTCAAAAATAAAGCCGTCGTTTTCTTGGCACGTTTTCGTTCACTTTCCGAAAAAGCCTTCTGCGTCAGAGCGGCATCTTTGCAAAAGCCTTCTTCTTCGATCAATCTAAGAACAGATGATTTTAGAAGAAGTGAGTGATAAAATAAGCAGCGACAAGCTGCAGACTCACTGTTTCATAACGATGTTGGCAAGCTGTGATGCCAACTCGAATGTTTCATCAAAGTTAAGAAACATGGAAAACTCATAACCAGGGTCAAGCAAGGGGTGTGGCACACGATCGCTGGTTACGACCCCCCCCCCCTGTTTGCTGTCTTAATAACCCCCCCCTCAACTATATACCTAAGATAGCATTACCAGAGTTGAGAAAGAGGTCAGGCACAAGTCTTTCGAACCCCCCCCCCCACCCATAAAAGCCCTCAAACGACCCCTTCTTCCTCCTCTTAACCTCTGGACCTCAAAGTGTGACATTCTGAAGGACACCATCTTTTTCTAGAGAGTTTTCAGATTTTTGAGAGCTGCACGCCTGATTTTCTGTGACTGCACTTTACAATCACACGTAATTTGACGGCTGATTTTGACCTGAATGGGCGTATTGAGAGAGCCATAATTTTCTAATGGGTGGGGCGTTCGGCTCCAAATTTCCAATGTAGCAAGAAGAAGCTATGTGCTCAATTACTCATACCAGCAGTGGAGCGCTTTCTGGATATTGAAGGCAAGTTAAGGGGGTGCTGCACACCCCCCGCAAAAGCTGCGACAGCCTTAGCTTTTAAGGGGGTGTGCCGCACCCCATTAACTATATCAAAAAAACATTTTTAGCGGACAGTATCTATATGAATCGATAGCCTGAACCTTGTAGATTCCATAGGACTGTTTTGAGCCTGATTCGTCTTCTTAGCTCTAAGTAATATTTGGTGAAAGCACAGCGATCAAAAGCGAAAAATGGGAAAAACGAGATTTTGGTTGGCTTCTAATTCTACAGTTTGCAGGTCTTCTGAAGCGGGATTTCTGAGGTGGACAAAGAAGGAGTAGTGCTGTGTCTTGAGTGCAACAACGGATAGCTAATTCACCTTTGAAACAAACTTAATTATGTTGGAATTTGACCATTTTGTTTGGGTAGACTAGTATCTTGAATCTTCAGAATTCGCACACACTTTGTCTACAGGGGGTAATTGACATGCTAATTATGGATATGATACGAATATCATGTATCACTATTACCAGATCCAACTACGACCCCCTCCCCTTTTGACTCCTCAATACGACCCCCCAGGTGTGGCGTGCCGCACCCCACGCTTGACCCTGCTCATAACTTTCTTGTCGCGTTACCACCCGGAGACTTTGTGGCCATAAAATAGTAGAGACCTTATCAAGTTTCTAAAACTTTTGACCAGTATATTGATAGATCTCATGGCAAGCAATAAAACTCACCGTAAAATCTATCCGTTTTAATTGATTTTAACTTCGTTTCCTATGACGAAAGAATAGAAGCACAGAAAATTCACGGATTAGAATATTTGTTTCTGATTAGGAAAACGATTTTTCCAATAACAGCAGCTATAATCTGTAACAAAAAGTGTGCAGAGAGGTACTAGTTCCGTATATTTCAAACAAGTTTCTATTTGCTCACAGTTTACTAATTTTTCATCCGAAAGCAAGGCGAAGATAGTAATAAATTTATGAAAGACGGATCGAGTAGCCAACGAGTCAAGCTCCTCTAAAATATGTTCAACATAATATGTTTATGTCCATCACAACAACATAAACTATTTAAAAAAGAAACAAGGACCTTCAAAATAAGCGATGTAATAAGAAAATCGAAAAGGTCAAATTAAACAAACCTGTAGCAGCGACCGAATCGGCATCACTGTGGACTAGACTTTCTACCTTGCACAGCACAAAAGTCCGGACATCCCGTTCCGTGGTAAATGAAGCTTTAATGATAAAAAATAATTGCAAAAATATGCAACACAAACGAGGTAAGGACAAAAATGCAGGCGGCATGTTAAATCTAAATTTAGCCGCTGGCATGCCACTGACGTGCCGGCGGCGACATGCCGGCTGCATGCCAGCGGCGAATTCAAATTGTGCCGAAAACAAACAAAGGCCCTATTTACAAACAAAACGCAATCATATGACACCAAATTTGGTACATGCGCGTTGGGGGACTCGAATTACAGCCGGAAAATCTATGAAAACTTACGTGAACGGAAGCTGTGCCCAACTTTTTTTCTGAATTAACTGGCACCGTGCCAGCTGGGTGCCAGCTGAGCTGGCACCGGCCCTTTGCCCACATAAGTTTTCATACTTTTCTATAAGATTTATCTACAGTGTAAAATTTTACATACGGTAAAAAAACCAGTTCAAAATGTTATTTTTTCGGCGTTTATAGCCATCTGAAACTTTTCAATCTTCTTCGTAGTTGAGAAATCTGCTCCAATCACAAAACGCGCCCTAAGCAAATGCAGCGCGAAGTTTGTCGATTTCATTTCGTCACTTCCTCAACTCATTATTTGAGCCTTGGATGAGGATGAGCTTTATTTCAACAATAATTTGTGGTTTCTAGTATTAAGCGTGGCTCTGTTTCTGTGCAGTTACAAAGCAAGTACTATTTTGTTGTTTGTTACTCGCGCAAATCTTTTGTTTTACTGTTTCCGTTGCTCGTACATTTTACATATGTTTTCTTTAATTCTCCTAATATATATTCATTCTAGCAAAATGTCAACAAGCTGGGGAGCTTAGTATCCGAAGTTGAAGAGAAATCTTCAACTTGCAATCAACCGTTTGAAAGTGATGGGCAAGAAGAAGACGGAAATGGCAATGAAGGCACGTACGGAGATTGCTGAATACATAGCATGTAAGGCTTACACGTTCTAGTTCTAGTTCTAGTTTTAGTTCTTCGTTCTAGTTCTTAACGAACTAGTTTGTGCTACGAAACTAAATCTCATTGTCTTTTTTTACAGCAAAAAAGGCCGATCGGGCTCGAATACGGGTGGAGCACATCATTCTCGAGGATCACTTGGTTGAAGCATTCGAAATATTGGAGATGTACTGCGATCTTTTACTCGCCAGATTCGGATTGATTGAACAAATGAAGTAAGATACGTCCAACCCAATATAACCCAGAAGTATAATTTCTGTTTAGAACACTCAATGATGGCCTTGCTGAAGCGGTCATCAGCATCATGTGGGCAGCCCCAAGACTTGCCAATGACGGGAATTCAAGGTATTTCGTTTGTTTTCTAAATCAGTCCCATTTCCTCAAGTTGTATGTTTGCAGACCATAAGCGATCGACTGACAATCAAATACGGAAAACCATTCGCGGAGGCAGCCAGAGCAAATCAGTTGGAGTTTCCTGCTAAAGTGGCTCCAAAACTTATCAGCAAACTGAGTGTAGCTGCGCCACCAAAGGTGATGGTAGAAAGGTAAGTGGCTCGACATACTGTTTTTCTAGTCATTCCTTGAGTTTTGGGACCATGCAGTATGCTGATTATGCAATTATTCTGGTTTTGCTAAAAACTCCTTTGTTGTTTTTCTGCATCACATTACGGTAAAATGACTTCCTTCCAGTCGTTGTCATCGTTTTGCGATTTGACCTAAATAACCATGCAGAACTTTCTCTCCAATATCAAAAACGTATTCTAGGCCTTTACCGACTTAATTTTCAAAATTTGAATAGTACATCTCATATGAGGTGGTTATTTTATGACAGAAGATCCTTCATATTCTCTGTTTTTTTCATGCAAGAAGCATGAAGTCTCTGCGGTTTTTGGTGCCTCGCACTTTCTTCTAGCCGTCTTTCACAACTTCGCCAATGTCTCTTCGCTGAAGATTTTGCAGAGTTGAACATGTTACTTTCCCACTTCTGTATATTTTGCAACTCTGTAGTTGCTCATCTTCAACCATAATATCATGCCATTCAGTAGCCATTCAGTAGTTTGTCATTACCGTAATGGTTCTTTTGCCGCAGAATTACTGGACCAGGTCTTGCTCTTATTGTACCACCTTCTCTTGTCGCTGCTTCTCCATCTAGTCAGTATGAGGCTGAATACTTGTATTCTTTAAACTGATCATCGAACACATTTCTATTCGGTAAAATTTGGAAAATAGGTGTTAATAGATCCATAGTATTGTGGTTTTGAGACTTTCATCAAGGGCCCAGCTTTTTCTCCTTTGTCCTTGCTAAAATTCTCACTACTAGAGTTACAAAAATTTATCTGTAGCTAATCTCCTCTAGTCTACAATTAGTTTCGCTGAACAGTTGTCTTTAGTCAAGCATTTTAGTACATGATCGAGATTGCTGCGAGCATCGTCGTTCCATTTACGCCAGATCCAAATGTCATGAGAAATGATGAGGTGGCTCAGGCAGAAAAGATGCTCATTGACTTCAAGCAAGCTGGTACTACTACTAATGTCACCGACGCAACACAACCAGTCATACTTCCTGTTCCTTCATCAGGAAGCATTCCACCTGCTGCTCCTCCGAGTGACGTAAGCAATCAAAATTCTTTTGGAGAGTATAAATTATTTTAACTTCTCAGGGTGTGAACTATGGATGGATTTATTATGGATTGAATGGAAAAAGCCTTACGTATCCTACATTGAGTCAATGGGTAAGTATTAGATCTCGCTTTCACTGGGTGGTAATTCCAGAGGTCTGTACATTGAGGACATAATATTATACTAATGTACTAATACTAATGGCGGCGGTAGGGGAACAAGGGCCGCCAGATTGAGCTGCCTTTTGCGGCCTACTGGTCTTTTTGCAGTGTTGCTGCATTTCGTTACAGGGTCAGTAGTCCAAGAGGCGGTTCAGACTGGCGGCTTTCTATCTCCTATCTGCCATCTGCATGTTTGTCTTCATGCAAAGAATAAAATAGAATATTTTCCGGATCACCTTAATATTGCTATTCGAGAAAATTTACTACTGGAAAAAAATTGGATGGCCTTCATCGCGATGTTGAAGAACTGAAAAGGCAACAACTTCTGAATGCATCTTGATCGAAGATTCCCACCAGAAATCTGCCATCTGCCATTCCGACGTCGCGGTACTAATGTTTTTGATCTTAATGTTTTGCGTGGTTCGTGGTTCTTCCGCGCAGTAACTGCCCACGGCGGAGAAGAAAGTATTTGTAAGTTGTTTCATTTCAGTTCAATTTTTTCAGTAACCGCGTTCAATATTTTCTACAGGTGTGTGGTTGCGACATAACAGTATCGTGGCAGGACGCTTTGTTAAACTTAGTTTTTATGTTCATGGGAATCTTAGCGATTCAGCTAGTGAGTCAACGATGGAAAATACGATTTATCGTACTCAATTATTTCAGATCAAATTGTATCAGGACAAAGTTAAATTGAAGAAGGTCATCAAAGAAGAGAAAGAGACGAAGGTAAAAGAAGATCAAGCAAGGGAAACTGGGACAGGATGTGCAATCGGTGCCAGGATTGCATCGTCGAACGGGTTATCCCTGCACCTGCCCCGGTTGCTTACTTGGTCACAACATCTGGGCCACCGCAGCCGGGGCTGGTGTCATACCACAGTTCGCCGGTGCACTCCTGGCACCGACTGCACATCCTGTCCCATCTGCCCCTCCTCCTAACACATACTAATATAATAAGCAATATCCATTTATTCCCTATTTTTCGGAGTGGGAAGTTCGCCCCGACGCGAGCGGTGCTTGACGCCGTAAAGAAGAGGCACAGACTTTTGCAACAGTTTTTTACATCCGTCGTCTCGTTCTCTCGATTATGAGTTTTTCGGGAAAATCTGCTTTACTAATTTGCCATATTTTGCAAAACAAAAATTTCCCATCTAGGCCCCATCCTGCTTTATATGTATTACTTTGAAATCATCAAACTAAAGCTATTTTTCAAACCATTTGTGTCTGCATTTATCGTCAAAACTTTGCTAAATTTTGATCAAAGTTGAAATAGCACTGACACATCTTAAAAATTCCAACAACTACTTGCCATTCAATTTCAGGTAAAGTAGAACAAGTAGACCGTTAAAGTGTTATATATCGCACCCTAAGCCCAACCCTGAGGAGCATCTACGTTCGCGCACCTGCCGCGAAAATGTTGGTGTGAAAGATGTGCTTTAGAATTGCACTTAAGGTAAGATATGTAATACTTTAACGGTCTACTTGTTTATCTGGAAAATAGTTTGTATTTCTTAACAAAGAGTACATAGTGAATAATCCATTTGAGAATCTCATGTATGTCTAACATATACCGCTTTGGCTATTTTGCATATCACGAAAATGTGAATAACTTTGTGAGGAGTTCAATGTAATCAACATCCTGTCCAGTGTTGAGCAAGAGGGTAGGCATAAGTCCTTTGAAAGCTACTTCTTCTTCCTCTTCTTCACTCCAAAACCTAAGAGTGCGACATACGGAGGGCATCATCCTGTCCTGAAGTTTTTGAGTTTTTTAAAAATGTACGTTTGATTTTCTAGATAGACTGCATTGTTAGAAGAACATGTAGTTTGAGTTTTTGAGTTTTTGATTTGAATGGGTTTATCGAATAACAATCCGAAGGAACTAAATAAGGCAAGAATTGAGATCGTGCTAACCATTTGAAAAACTTAGAAAACTTATGGAATTTGTTCGATGAATCAGCATGTGTTAAAACCTTGTTACATACTCTTACAGAATCCAAAAATAATGGCGGGTCTTCAAAACAGGTCAAAGGGGACTTCGTAAAATTTTGGAAAAGTCAAGGGGGACTTCGTTTTCAAAATTTCCTGGTGCCAGCTCGTGCCGAGCCCTGGTTATAAAAAACGGAAAAATTTTTGATGTTAGTATGTAAAGGTATGCATGCCTAAGAAAAATGTAGCGTGGGGCAATTGCTGAATGCGGCCAACCGAGCTGCAATTTTTAAGTTTTTTCGCAAATAAAGGCACACTCGTCATTGAAAATGCCGGAGCGCACATTTAAAATTATAGCGTGCGCCAACCTACACTAACTATTGCGCCAACCTACAGTAACTACTTGCTTCCTCTCTATTTGGCTTTTGCTTTTGTCCTCTTACAGAGTTTAGCGTGGTAGGATCTGCCTTTTTGCCAGCTCTGTAGGTATTTTTTTAGCCTGTCGATATCGCCGCATTTTTTTTTCTCGCATCGGTCATCGATTGCTAGGTCAATATCCAATATGCCACCTAGATCAACTCGCGCGTCCACCAAGCGGGGTTCAGCTCTCAAGCAACCTCGCCTACATCTACCCAGCTCCAACCTAGCCAAATTATTCCTAATTACAAAGACCTCAGTGCTGCCGAACTGGTAGCGCGCATTGCAGAGAAAAATAAGGATCCAGAGATCGCTGAGATGTTAGAATGCTTGTCTCAAAAGTTGGTAGCTGACGTCCAGCAGATCCTGGAAGCGGATACTAGGTCGCACAGTATTGTTATTAGCGGGTTGCCTGAAGCACCTGCCGGTCTTGGGGCCTCAGAGGTTTTTGATGATCTCCAAGTGAAAGTCAATGATCTCCTGGGGGTCGTGGATGTTCACTGCCGCCCTGTTGATGTTTACAGGATAGGTAGGATAAGTCATTCGCCGTAGTATCACTGCAAACGAAAGGAAACGTGAGTATGAATTGAAGGAAATAGCCCGCGAGCGAAATAAGGGTAGGTCAGAGCGGGAATGGGTGGTATATCGAGGAGAACTTGTACGTTCAAGCGATATTGGCCACGGTCGGGGAAACGCACAGATTGGCATGGTGATTCTAAATTATTGAGCTGCTACTTATTCAATGCACGAAGTCTGATGAATAAATTATCTCATTTGCATTTGCTTTTATTGTCTTCTATGCCCGATATGGTATTTATTACTGAGACCTGGCTCACCACCAAAGTTTCTGATTCTGAATTGCATGGGGCTTTTCCTTACATTGTTGTGCGGTTGGACAGAAATAAATGCAAAGGTGGGGGAGTGTGCATTTTGGTCAAAGCATCGCTTAATGTTCAAGTTGTCAAATACACAAAAAATTGAAAGCTGATGTTCTCTCTTTCGATTTGCTTACTAATAGTTCGTTTCAAATCAGATTTATTCTTGTCTACCGCCCTCCTATTTCTAAACGTGATGATGATGAGTCGCTTATCGATCTGTTATATGACTTAGTGGCCGAGCAAGACTTTACTGTCATTCTTGGCGATTTAAATTTGCTGATAAATCGGACAGATCTTAAGCCTCTGAATCACATATCATCATTTCTCAAGTTCTTTGAGGAAAGTGGTTTCACGCAGTATGTTAAACTCACCAACTCATTCTGATCATGTTTTGGATGTCATTCTTACGCAGCACACATCCCTTGACCAAAGTGCTTCCTCTCTTTGCTTCATCTGACCATGCCATGGTGTCTATCACTTTTCCCTTGAATATCTTTGAGGTGAAAGTGTCCATGCCTGACTTTCTTGATGTCAATTATGAGGCGTTGAATGATTACCTCTCTGCTATCGATTGGTTGGCAATTTTTGACCAGTATACATCTTTCGCAGATATTTATCGCAGATTCTGTACCGAACTATATGAATGTTTAGCAAAATTTGTTCCATTTCATTTTCCTAAAAGTAACATATTCAAACTCCCGAAGCATCTGCAAGCCCTCAACATGCAGAAGCAGAGACTTTTCCATGAGCTACCCTATCTGCTTGAAAACTCTTTGTATAAGAAAGTCTGTCGGGACATTGAAGCTCACTTGAGAAAATACCTTGCCTACCGGGAGCGTAAACTAGCTGCTAGGAATAACATGAAACCTATGTACTCCTATATACGATATAAAATGAAAGCCAATGGCAAGCTCCCCACTTTGATGAACGATTCCGGTCAACTTTTGTCTCTGACCTTGAGAAAGCAAATGCTTTAGCCAAATATTAGGTCGTCCCGAAAGTATTTTCCCTTTTTTCAAACAATCGCCACGTTCGCAGAACAAACGTCCATAGAAGATCTTGGAGACATCTGATGCAGTTTTTTATGCTCTTTCAAATGATTATCTTTACATTGCAGTTTAACAAACGAGCTCTTAAAAAATAACCAAAACTGCAACCCATAGTTTTTGCCATAGTCAATTTCCGGTGTTCTTCTAGAATTCTTTAGTAATTTTCCGAAGGAGTTCAGGTGACCGTCAGATAGAGCAAACAAAGTAGGATACAAAACAATTTCCGCCCCTTCCAAATCTTACTTTACAAAATTTTTAAAAATACTTTTTTGATGCTATCAAATTCTATATTTCGTCAACGCAAACCTCATAGAGCATCACTCGGGAAGCAACTAGGGTGTTATTCGATGCAGCACCTTCTCCTCTTTCAGAGACATGTTTTTTGTTTCTGATTCGTAAACTTTTAGAGGACAAAATCGACAAAATTCATGTTTTTGATGGCGCCCCAAGATGTACCCGAAAAATTCAAAATCCGATATTTTGAACCTGGAAACGCTCATTTGTTTTGTAAAATTAGTAATGAATCTTGATCTATCTTTAAGAGTATCAAAAACTGAAAATTTCTTATAGTTTAACGAGTCTGCGTCTGGTATGGGTCTGCTAAAATTCGATAGTGTTGCTTAAAATTTTGTCAAACAATTATGGAGAGCTCTGGGAAGGAGGAAGAAATTGTTTTGTATCCTACTTGGTTTGCTCTATCCGCAGGTTACCTGGGCTTCTTCGGAGAATCAGTACTAGAATTTAGAAAAATAGCGAAACTTGACCTTAGTAAAAAGCGTGGGTCGCAGTTTTTGGTAATTTTCTAAGGGCTCGTTTGTTGAACTGCAACAAAATGATAACTATTTTGAAAGAGCATAAAAAACTGCATCGAATGCTTTCAAGATCTTCTAAGGATGTTTGTTCTGGGAACCGTGGCGATTGTTTGAAAAAAGCGAAAATACTTTCGGGACGATTTAATATTTCTCGAATGTTTTTACTAGTGATAATTTCAATGAAAACACCCCTTGCATGGATTGTGGCCTGTCCCGCATCACTCGAGTGATGTTTTCTTTCATCCTTCTGATCTTTACACTATTTTGAAAACTCTCAGACCGTCCATAACTGAAACCTATGATGGAAATACCGCAGATCATTTATAGAAAATTTGCATCTGCTCTGGCTGCACCGCTTGCCCATATATTCAATATATCGATGCTTCTAAGTGAGGTGCCTCAGTGTTGGAAAGAAGCTATGACGACGGCTATTCCAAAAGTTTCCGGTACAAACCAGATAAGCAGCTATCGTTCTATCAGTTTATTGCCTACACCAGTGAAAGTAATGGAAAAGATTATAAGGGCCAGACTGCTATCATGGCTCAATAGGTTTCATGTTATTCCTATAGAACAGCATGGTTTCATTCCCGCGGCGTCTACCACTACTAGTTTAACGGATAGCTTATTTGATTGGGCTTTGGCATTGAACAAGGGAAAATTTATTAATGTTATTTATGTTGGCCTACCAAAGGCGTTTGATAAAGTTAGCCATGGAAAACTTCTGAGTAAACTAAAGTATTTGGGTATGGCAAATTTTGCCTCGTACCTAGCTGACAGACATCTGACGGTTAAGTTGGTCATTGCCACTCGCAAAGGCACATATGCACCAGTGGAGTACCTCAGGGGGGGGGGTGTCCTCTCCCCACT